AACAATTAGTTGACATGTAAAATTCTGAAGTAGCATTTTATGCGACAAGACATCACTAAGACTAGAAATTTCAAAAAGCTTCAAGAAAAAAAGACATGGAAGTTTCCAATTTGAAGACTCCAAACCCAAAAGAATCTGTTAATATTTAGAAGTAATTTTTGGTTTTTGTTTTTTCAAATCCTAGTTGTTGAGTGGAAACCATTGGTGAAGTTTAAAAACAGGGTCACTCCAATCTACTAATGCAATTTACACGTAAGGGGGCAATGAATTAGGTAAGGATCAAAGTTCAACCAATATAGATTCAATTCACAAAATTCGATCCTATAATGTAGATTTATATATGAGTTTAAAATTCAATAAAATCAAGTTCATATAAGATTCATAATGGTGAATATCAAAATCAGATTAAGGATGTCCTCTTGGGTTCTTGCTTCTCCAGCATTGTGAGACAAACACCCGGGTGCAAACTGAAAGTTGATCTTCTGTGGATATTTAACCACAGGGCCCATATAACCCATAACTTCCCCGGCAAAAGAAAATAATGGCTACAAATAGGAAAATTTACTTTTGTTGCCATTGTCCTATAAAATCCTGTTTTTACCTCTGGTTTTAAGTCTCTATGAATGATGTGGTGAGAATGTAGTATTTCCAAACCAGCCCCTGTACAACAAGAATTTGATTAGATGCAGACTGTAGAAGCAGTGTAAAGCCTTATTACAAATTAAAATGAAAATAAGAAGCTACCAAGCTGCTGCATAAATTTTCTAGCAATCTGTTCTTGAACTCTCCCATGTTGCCGAATATAGGCTGCCAAATTTCCCCCATTGCAGAATTCCAGGACCAGGAATATGCAACCTTCATTCTGGGTTGAAGACATGAATAACATGCTAAATAATAGCCAAATAACACGCTGGTTTCCAACAGTTAAAAGGTTTGGTGCCTGGATATCTTCATTTATATAATCACACTCTCTTCCCCTTCCATTTCCCTCTGTACGCAATTCCATTATGGCATGTTTACTTATCAAGAATGGGTATTGGAATAATTCCAATTCATGACTTCCCCTATGTTTACCAACACATAAGGAATAAAAAATTATGTGGGTTCCATTTTAAAATCTGTAATCAAATACCCTCAAAACTAGGAATCAGATCAATTACAGTCCTTGCACGTAAAATATACTGTGAAAGTAGTTTGATGTTTAGAGACAATCCCATGTTCACTTCCAAACTTCTATGAAAATTCATAAAGATAGAGGTTGAGAATTTGGGGTTCTAAAAGCTTGAGTTGTGATTATGGAATCCCTCAAGAACAACCCTTGCATTCAAAATCTGCTGTGAAAGTAGTTTAGTGTTTAGAGGATGATCTCATGCCTACTTTTACGTTTGTATGAAACATGCTTAGCGATAGAACTTGAGAGGTTTGGGCCAGTTACTGGTAAACAATATTCTTAAATAAAATACTCACACCTTGACATGTTTAAAAGATAAGTAGGTGATTCGTGACAGTGAAGGCTGGAAAGAGTGTATTGAGGATCACTCAAATCTACATGAGGCATTATACTAATCACGTAGACAACGACAACAATGGTGCATAACAGTCCTAGAATCAAGTAGGTTAGTAAGTGTAAGTCTAAACAGTTGAATCCTGACTCGGACCCATGTTTCTTGTTTAGGTTTTCTGCATTAAAAGTTTAACTAAAAAATTGAATCGAAGATAAAGATATCCTTGTATTCATCCAAACACGTGTATATCTGAAAGTACTCATGTGAGATGAGAATTTTTGTTGTATTTGTAAAAAACAAATTAGTGTGCCAGTATTTAGGAATGTCAACAGAAACCTATCCACCCCCTCTAGGTTTTTTATCCATTATATTTGGATCTTAGCTAGTGGTATAGTGACATGCCAATTCCATATATCTTTTAGAAGGTTCTGTAGATAGAATGAAGATTGCTGGGATAATAACCAATTTCCAAGGATTTCTTAGGATAATTCTAGCAAAGGTCCTTTGGGCTGTGAAGGATGTTGAAATTAATACACATTTGAATAGAAAAATCTAGAAGCTTGGTGGGAAGTCAGCAACTACATGCAACTATGAAGATTATTCCAGAAAGCCACACACTTGTGGAGTAAAGAAATCAAGTCGGTGGAAGAAATCTCTAGAGCATACAAACATGTGGTTGGGAGAAAATGTCCTAAGTCGGTGGACCAAGGTATGGCGGTGGATCAAGTCTATAAATAGACATGCAAGTGATCATACAAGGTGGAGCAAAAAAGGCTACCCAACCCAAGTCTTATGGGGAGTGAACCAATCAACTCCCAATCCATGTGGGGGTAAAGAAGCAAACTCCCAAACTATTAGGGAGCCAAGAGCTACCCAAACAAAGATATGTTGAGGGAGCCAATGAGCTCACCAATCTTTGTGAAGGGCCAAATAGCCCAAACTAATCTAGATCTAATGTGTTGGCCAATAAGCCAATATGCTAAGGAGGCCAATTAGCCTACACAAGCCTTGTACTATTCTCCTCCAATATAATAAAATCAC